TCCTGGAAGCGCTTCTCCTTGTACTCAGCAAGCTGCTCCTGCAAAGTACAACATGTCTCCATGGACTCCACGGGACCCAGTGCCCAGAGCCCTGCCCTGTGGCTGGCGGTCCTTTTGGGCCTTTGCCGCAATTTTGGAGAGCTCTTCCTTTGTCTCTCGCTCCTCGCATGAAGCGAAGGGTGCTGGAGGCGACGGCCGAAACCGAGTCGTTTTCATGTCTCGCCTTCATCTCGCGCTCCAACATCTTGCGATAGTTCCTGAGAGTCGGTATTAGGGTGGATTTCGCAGCTCGCGCAATCAAACACCACTTCAACTAATGAACAACTCATAACACTCGACGGAAGGGAGAGGCCAAGCTTCGCAAGGCATCCCGAAAGAACTTCTCTTACATCATCCCCTATTTCAGCTGCGCGGCTGCTTCTCCATCTCGAGAAAGCGATCGTCGCGAATCTGCTCGAGCCTTCCCAGTCGCACTTTGGCCCCCGAAAAGTGTTAGTTTAGTGTTGTCTTTCGAACACATTTTTCTAAACTGCGGAGAGTCTAGAATCCCTCCAACAGCAGGCAGGTTTGCCATCGTTAGGCGCTCTTCACACTGCCCTATGTAACTAATAATGTTGTCCTCACCCTTGTCCAACTGGAACTTCGGCCCCTGTCTTTGGCTCACACGGCATCACCGACACTTCAGCATTTGCAGGCACCACGGCTGCAACCTCCCCCTCATCCATCACACTCATCGTCGAGCGTAGGGTTTAGAGTTTAGAGCTCGCCGGCTGTTGGAGAATGACGCCCAACCACCCGCCCCTGCCCAAATGCCTTACTCTACATGCCCTACCCAGATCTGCCCCAAAAAACGCATCCACGCGTCAAACAGATTTTATCCGAGCTCTCAATCCTGGCTGCTAGCCATCAAAGCGCAATACCCCCAACTCCGGCAATGGGCTACCTATACAACTTGGGTGTATTCTGGCGCAACTCCCGGATCTGATCTGATCTTACTCTGATACAAATCTCGTCTTTTGCGTTTGGCAGAGGGGGGGAACAAAAGCTCATCGAGCAGATGTAACAAGGGGCCGGGGCAGGAGTCAGACAGGGGCGGAGGCTGCAAGGTGGGTAACTCTCGGTACCAGGAGCTGTGCCCGGTAAACGGTTCTTGGTTTTGGGGTTTAGGCGTTAGGGCTTAGGATTTTCAAGAGTGCTGCGAGTCAGCAAATGGCTAGTTCTCTGAATTAGGGTCCCTGTTTGGGTCCCCAATTTAGTACGGCACCCTTATAACCCTAGAAGGGGACCCTAATTTAGAGAACTACCCAAATGAGCATCAGAAAGGATCCGCTTCGCTTCAAAGATCGCGCTCCTTCACCATGATCCAAGAGGCATCTTTTGGACCGGGCTGTGGCTTTGGCGATTGTTGGGACATTTTCCGCATGATGGTCTGAACAATTGTGCTTTTTTGATGAGTGCCACAGGCTTGCATTTCCTCTTGTATGAACGCAACTTAACCACATTTCCTTTAGCGACTAGGGGTGAGCCGTAAACATACCCGTTGCATAATGTCATTCGACTTTTTCGGAAAAGTAGCTACGTTGATGCTATAACGCAAGCAGAAAATTGATTCAAAGTCTTCGGACTGCCGTGGGATCTGATACCTGGTCTTGGGTTGAGATCTTGGGTCTCGGGCGACCGGTTGTGGTATTAGACACACCCCAAACCGACGAGGTTCACTCCAAACAAGTGTTGGCAAGGGCCCAGAGGCCAAGTCGCAAACACACTCGTACGGCATCCGCTGCAACACCTGAGTCGCACACTTCTTCAGCTCCCCTTTAAGCGAGATCTGCGCCTCGACCCATTCACAGACACTCGAGGCCGTGCACTGTTGCGACAGCACACATGCGACTATGTCTTGTGGCCTCTCTTTCTGCAATGACATCGCAGTGCATCATCTTGCTATGGAAAGACTTCATGCGATCAGACCTGAGCAACGGTGCAGCAACCGAAATCTCCGAAAGCTTGCTGTCGGCACATCGCATAAGCTCGTGTAGGCAATTACAAGGACTGTCAAGTAAGAGCCCAACTCCTCGTAGAGGAGCTTGTTCGCACCTTGGGGCAAAGGCAACTTGGGACATGACGAACTCACCGAAGCGAGACTGAGGACATTGCGGTCGATAGTCGCTCGCCTTTGATCCAGCTGGATCTTGGCCTCTTCAGCGTCTACCTGCAGCCACACCAGCTGTGATCAGAAGCGTCTGCAGCAGCCCTTGTGCCTTTTGTCTTTCGAGTTCTTCCATCTCTAGCTTTTTCCTGCATATCACCGACAATGCGCAGGTCGACAGGTCACATAAGACCCATCACGAAGGCAGCGCCAATGCAAGATTCCCAGCTGCACAAATGAAGATGTGCCCTGTGCCTTTTCTCCTCGGCCTTCTTCCGCCGGCTACCTTCCAAGGTGTTGCTCCAAGTCTTTGCCCGAGCCTGCCATGTTTGCTCGTCTCATCTTGAATGTGTTGGCGCAGCGGCTTTGCGAGACTGGCCTGCGACTTCTCATGGAGCAGCTGCGCCCGAGTCTTGGCAGGCATCCTTCAGAGATTACAGTGAGACTGCCACTACGGATCTCACAGAACAACCCCTGCAAGACTGTGCTGAGGACTGGGTGGCATCGGCACTCGAATCTGCAGCGACCTGGATGGTTCTCGAGACAAGATCGAGCAACTGGAGACATGACTGGACCTACTGCCAAATTCAGCCAGTGCGTGCCGAGTTGCATCGCTTGTCAAGCCAATAGCATTCTTGATGCGGTGCAGCTCAGATGCAGTGATGACCTGAAGTCACATACAGCCCTAGACCACATGTGTGCACCATGAGCGGGTCCATCATGAAGGCAGTTCCGACAACGACCGACAACGTGTGCAACGCCTCCTCAACCCAGTGACATGGAAGTTGTGTAATAGGTTTCTGATCATGATGTTGCGCAATGGAATTGCCCGAACTGCTAGTGCCTCCGAGTATCATGCAGTCATGAAGTTCAACCGTGTTCTGCAATGGTAAGCAACTGATGCTGGCAAGCTTTGCGGGCTTTGGCGTTTGTGAAGGCATGTGAGTGATCATACCATGCTCCTGGGAATGAGGCACCTTGCTTCTGAAAAAGTGCCCTGATGCAGTCACATTTGATCGCGGTCGAACAACAACACCGCAAAAGAAGAAGTCTAATGTATTGAGTGCGGGCGGGTCGCGCAGAAGCGATCACAACTGACTTCAAAGCCAGCCAAGTTACGTGATAGATTCCTAGCAATGTATCGAACCAGGGTCGTAGCTTTCGTGTCTTCCCAGCCACACACAACATTCCAGGGTAGGACACAGCAAGGCAGCTGAGAGATTGGCATATGCCTCCGCCATGCACGCCACCAGCGCAGGGCCGGCCTAGGAAGAGGGTCGCCCTCATGCTGTCATGAGAATTGTCTGCATGTCCCCCTTCATCTTCAATGGTACCCCCGGACCTCGCGACCCGTTTGCCGTTCGATGTCCGCCCAGCCCAAAGACGGCTGGGTCTTGAGCCACAGTGATGCGGGCACAGGCTAAGCTTAGACCATGCTTGGCTTTGCGATTCAAGTGAAATTCGAGTTTATGGAAGCGAGGCCGCGAAGGGGCAGCCGCATCCACGGAGTGAGAAAGAGAGAGAGAGAGGGGGGGGGAGAGAGAGAGAGAGA